ATAAAATTTCATGCCCTCTACCCAAAGTTTGGCTATGAGTCTCAGCCTCTGCTTCGATAACTCAATCAGTAGAGTCTTTCGGAGGCCTTCTGTGATAGGCTCCTCTCCTGTCGCCAGTCTTCTGCTTCCAATGTCTATCGTGTTTGTCCTTCTGAATGAGGATTAAGTATCTTCCCTAGGGTCTTCCTTGTTGTTTATCCTATATTATATGTCTAATATAATTTTAGTATGTTTATTTTAGTATGTTTTAGTATGTTTATTTTAGTATGTTTATCCTATATTATATGTTTTAGTATGTTTATCCTATATTATATGTCTAATTTTAGTATGTTTATCCTATATTATATATCTAATATCCACTTACAATAATGACTGGCCAGGCACAACATGCCCACATATGCAGCAATCTCATAAATATCAAAGAGTAATCAATCACTTTCTGACTGGATTTCAGGTCTGCTCCATAAGTTGAAACACATACCTGGCACTGTTATCAGGGCCAAAAACTTGTCGCTAGGTAGGCCCAAGATCTTAGGACAGAACCCTCTATTGCGCTGCTAAATGGCCATTGTATTAAACCAACTCCTAATGAGATTAGTGTATTCCTCAAGCCTCATCAGAGAAGCTTTTTTTTTTTTTTTAAGTAAATGAAGACTAAGATAGAGGCTCACAGTGGTCAAGGCACAAAAAGAAGAGATTGCAGAATTCTCAGCCATAAATGGAACATCTACATCACAGCTCATCTGCTCAGGAATCACTGAAGAAGAGGGAGTTGAAATATTATAGAGCCAGAAAAAGTGTTTGTATGCACATAGCAGAAGAAGTCTACCTATGAATCCATGGTGGTTGAGACATGCATAAGCTTAAGCCAGACAAAATTCCAACACGGAGGGAAGGCAGGCACTAAGTTCCATGCCTGGCTACAGATCTGTTGGCAACTAATCACTTCTGGAAGAGGGGGAATCGGTTTTCTTTAAAGGTGCAGACCCCTGTGAGCTGACAACTCTCCAGTGAAGGCCACACGTTCAAGAATGTACAAGCAGCACAAATTGGACCTGATAGGTTTAAGTAAAATGAGAGGACACAGTCGAGTGGATTAGGAAAGGGAGATGAATTGGGAAGGAGTTGGGGAGAAGGTAAGTATCAAAATGCATTGTATGAATTTCTCAAAGAACTAATAAAAATGAGAAAAATAAATAAAAAGGAATTATTTTCTTATGTCTCTTCAGAAAGCCTCCAACACTCATTTCTCCTTTTGAAAACTAATAGAATACAAAGTATTATTATATCTTTAATATAGATTTCCTTGATGATTGGATAAGTTTTCTTATACCAATTATTTGGGCTTGCTCTTCTCAAACCTGGCTATTCTACATTAGTTTGACATTATTTATGTGATAATCTATTGGATTTTTTTTTTCTCCAAATTTGTTAAAAGTGTATGGATATTTTTGGGTTTTTTTTGTTGTTGTTTTGTTTTGTTTTTATAATGATAAACATGGGGCCGGATGTGGTGGTGCACACCTTTAATTCCATCATTCAGGAAGCAGCAGCAGGGGGATCTCTGGGAATTTGAGGCCAGCCTGGTCTACACAGTGAGTCCAGGACAGCCAGGGCTACACAAAGAAACCCTGTCTCAAAAACCCCAAACACGACCTCTCCCCATAAAACAAGCAAACAAACAAAAAAACAATTATAAACATGTCTTTTGAGTCTACCCATTTAAAAAATAATTTGAAGTGAACTTATACACCATAAAAATGAAAATACGAATGCATTATATTCTGATTGAGCTAAATTCTGTAGTGCAGATATATTTTAAACAAAATAATTTAAAGGGGCATATGCAATCCTCTGCTAAAAGTAACTTCATCTAGAGCTAATGAACCCATGAAAGAAAAGGTATGCAGGATATACTGAATATAGATATATAGATATATAGAAGTTTCAGAAGTTTTATTATATGAAATACATCAGAGAAAAGATAATAAACAATTTAAAAAGATAAGTTGAAAGAGGGTCTCTTTCCTGAAATAGCACGATTTTAGATGGCATCTTAGGGAACATGAAATGAGTTTTCTTTTTCCTAATAGAACTGACTATTGGCCAGATGTGGTGACACTCCCTATGAATCCATGTGGTGACACACACCTGTAATCTCAACACTTGGAAGACTGAGGCAGGAGAATCGTGTGCTTTAGGACAGCCTGGGCTATATCCAGACCCTGTCTCAAAAAAAAAAAAAAAAAAAAGAAGAAGAAGAAGAAGAAAAAGAGGAAATCCAATGCCTTTATAGAAATCATTGAATAATAATTTACAAATGTAAATAAATCCCTATTGAGCACAAAATTCAGTTTTTAGTTGTTAAGAATTTTTTTTTTTTTTTGGTCCCCATCATCATTGATCATCATCATGTTAGAAAGTTAAGGACTTGGTCCCTGGAGAATGGTTTATGCCGAACCAAACAAGGAAGAAAGAGTGACATCTCTTCATAGCTCTCCTCCCTGTCTTCCATTGGATCAGGAGGTTGGCTAATCCCTAATGAAGAGTATAAAGGAGGAAACAGTGTTGAGAGTTTTACCAGAGGCCAAAACCAGTATTGGCTGGAAATGTATTTTTCTGCATTTTTGTAAAATCAATTGGAAAAATCTCTGTTTAAAAAATAGCGATTAGCTCACTGAAACTTACTCAATATGACTCCAGTGCCACACTTCCTGGGGGTGACCCGGGCATCCTTCTCACCATCCAGTTCACTCTGACTGGAGAGCTTGGGACTTCCAGCAAACAGAACCAAAGGATTCAACTCATTTCACCTAACAGTATATGGAAATGGCATCATATTTGTGCATTTTAAATTAGTTCTGTTTGAATGCCAAACTTCTTGGAAGTCAAAACAAACTTTTCTGTCTCTCATGTTTAAATTAGAGGTAAGTAGAATACATGAGAAATTACTAAATACTCTTACATTAGTATTTGAGCATTAGGAGATGTTTGTGATCTCAATGGGGACCGTGGGCTTCATGGTCAGCAGGTCAGCTTTTCCTTCGGTTTGCTGCTCAAGCAAATCTGGGCTCTCGGGAAAGCAACCTAAGCTAGAGGAGCATATAATACCCAAATTTCTGCCTTCCTGGTTCATCTTTTCCAAACAGTAATTTTATATAAAACTTTTCCTTATTAGCTGTGTGTGTGTGTGTGTGTGTGTGTGTGTGTGTGTGTGTGTGTGTTGGGGGAAAGACTCCTATTGTTTATCTACATATTTCAAAAAATTATATTTGAATGACCCTCTCATAAGAATATGATCTGATCTGAGAAAGCACAAAATAACAAGGTGTCATAGTAAAGGAAATGTGAGTGATTTTTGAGGCCCGCCTGGAATAAATGAGACCATGTCTCAAAAAACATGCTGAGGAACGGAGAAAACGTCTCAGCAAATAAATTCCTCAACACACAAATTTGAGAACCTACCTAAGTTCAAAACCACAGAAACCACTTTGTTCCCAGTGCTTCTAGGAAGATGAAAGCCTGGTAGGAGAAGCACCTCAGCTAGGTGAGGGTCAGCTAGCCTGCCATATGCAACATGAACAACCAAAGAGAAACTCTGTCTCAAAGAAGGTAAAATCCGACAGCAGCGGAGGGTGTCCTCTGACCTTCATCTGTCTGCTGTGACACCCACGTGTACAAGCTAGCACACACACAAATACACAAAAGATACATTGGAACACTATTTCAGAATCTTATTTTTATGAGTATCTAACAGATGAGAGGGGCTAAATGTTCTACAGAGAAAAATTGTCAAATGGGTATTAGCAATAGTCATTGCTAATATTTTAATGAATATGGATAAACTTGAAAAAATGCATTCTCATTTTGTTAAAATAAAATTTAAAACTTAGTTTCTTGAGGATGTTTCGTTGGGATACATGCTCTTTAGATGTCAGAGCTGTTATTTTACTACTTCCAAGATATTTAGGGTTCTGACTCACCTCTGCCCAAACCATCCCAGAACTCTAGCACAGCGGCTGCACAGGCACTGCCAACAGTTTACCCAAAACATAACACCCAGGCTCAGGAAGTGTTTCCTTGACGTCCAGAATTGAGGTTGACTGTTGGAGTTGTAACACAGCCACTTGTAAGGCTGGACTCTAGGAAAGTGAGCATCATAAAAGCTCCAAATGAATCTTCTGAGCACATCAGTCCTGCCAGCACTGTGGCTGCTTTGATTCACACCCCTCTCTTCCCACCCAGAATCAGGCTAAGCGAGGTTATTCTCAACAGGTCAGAAATTTTATTCCCACCTTTATCTTACAGTAATGAGGGACCTGAAGATCAGAGGACAAGACCAATTCTCAAAGCAGAGAAACTAGGTACAGAGGTTGCTGGGGATGGATGAGCCAGGCCTGCCAGCCTCAGATATCACTTGAGCAGACAGTCCTGTGCAGGTAGATTCTGGGACATGAAAGTAAGAGGGTAAGTCTCCCCACACTGCGTCTGAAAACTTACTGACAAGTAAATACTATAATAATACCTGGATTCATTTGAGGGAAAGGCAGAAACTGTGGAGAAATGAGGCTAACGTATTTTTTTTAATGCCTACAACCAGAGACTCTCACTGGTTCTGGAGAGAGAGTAGAGTGAATTCAGATAACAGGAGCCATATCTGTAGCCACCCCCGACCCCTTGCTGGCAGATACCCAGGTAGAAAGACCCGGGAACGGCCATCCATCCACAGAACAGCAAAATACCAAAGGAGAAGATCTGTGACCACAGGAACCGATGAAGTGCTGTAACCTTGACATCACTGTGGTAAAAACTTTTAGGAAGACATGAACCCCTCAGAAAGGTTTGACAGACACACGCACTTTTCACACTAACAGGATCAGTGTTTGAACACATGAAACTCCCGCACCATCACCTCATACCTGTTTGGCTCACCCCGTAAACACTTTCACCAACTTCCTGACCGCTTGTGTTCCAGGGACCCGGAGGCTGTGCTGTTTAACATGAGTCTGGCGAACGAGAGCGCCTCACAGGAGTTCATTCTCTTAGGGTTTTCAGATCGGCCATGGCTGGAGCTCCCGCTCTTCGTGGTGTTCCTGGTGTCCTACATCTTGACCATCTTTGGGAACATGATGATCATTCTTGTATCCCGCCTGGACTCCAAACTCCACACCCCCATGTACTTTTTCCTCACTAACCTGTCCCTGCTGGACCTGTGCTACACCACAAGCACAGTGCCGCAGATGCTGGTCAGCCTTTGCAGCACCCGGAAGGTGATCAGCTACGGCGGCTGCGTGGCCCAGCTTTTCATCTTCCTGGCCTTAGGATGCACCGAATGTCTTCTCCTGGGCGTCATGTCCTTTGACAGGTTTGTAGCCATCTGTCAGCCTCTGCGTTACCCAGTCATCATGCACCAAAAGCGCTGCCTCCAGTTGGCAGCTGCATGTTGGGGCAGTGGCTTCAGCAACTCAGTATTGCAGTCCACGTGGACCCTTCAGATGCCACTGTGTGGTCACAAGGAAGTGGATCACTTCCTCTGCGAAGTCCCTGCCCTCCTCAAGTTGTCCTGTGTGGATACGACGATAATTGAAGCTGAGCTATTTTTCATGAGTGTTGTCTTCCTTTTAATCCCCGTGACTCTCATCCTCATATCTTATGCTTTTATTGTCCAAGCAGTGTTGAGAATAAGGTCAGCAGAAGGTCGGAGAAAGGCCTTTGGGACATGTGGCTCCCACCTGATTGTGGTGGTCCTCTTTTACGGCACTGCTATCTACATGTACCTGCAGCCTCCGTCCCCTGCCTCCAAGGACAGGGGGAAAATGGTGTCCCTCTTCTATGGAATCATCACCCCCATGCTGAACCCCCTCATCTACACACTGAGGAACAAAGAGGTAAAGGGAGCGTTCAGGAGGTTGATGACAAGGGTGTGCTTGATTAAAAAATAAGTGATGCCCAAATAATAGATAGCCCCATTAGTAGAAGTTAGTTCAGCCTATTAAATTATCTTGTTTTGTTCTATATTGAATTATTGTGATGATTTCCATAAAATAAAATCTTGCTGAGAGAGAACTATATAACATTCTGCCTCGTGGATGTATTCATTTCACACGCCCTGAGAAGTGCCAGTTTATGATTCCGCCAAACTGCTAATCCCACAAACATTTTTCAGGCTTCACATCATCTTTGTGCTTGGCAAAGTTTCTTAGACGACTCAGGATCTAAAAAAAAAAAAAAAAAGTTTTTGGATATTTTCCCCAGAAAGAATACATTTCAATACGCATTAATATTCTCATCTATGTGTAAAAATCAGAACTCTACTGTTCTACAGACATTTCTAGATCTAGCAGAATTCTGTGGTTACTGCTCCCTGATCAGAAGTACAGTTATGAGACTAGAGTGAAATTCCACATTAAGAACCAGCACTATACCCAATGCTACAATGATAATTTTTACAGTTTTAATCAAATCTTCGATTCTTTTATGTTTGTAGTTTCTACTTCCCTTAAAGTCTTACTCTCATTGACACAATTTCTCAAGACTTTCATCTTATAATTTAATAGTTTTTAAAAGATCATGATTTGGGACAACCTAATGATTTATATCCTGTATTGTTTGTTAACTGGGTTGATTAATTAGGAAAAGCAAAATAGCAATGTAGTTACACATATCTTCTTCATTCAGAATAATAATTAATTAAATGAGCACAAGCTATTAATGCTAATAGTATAAGTATAAATTTCAAGTAAGTTTCTTGTCAGGCATGAAGGCTTACACTTTTAACCTGCGTACTTGAGAACTGGAGGTAGACAGCTCTCTGAGTCTGAGACCCATCCAAATTACATAGTGAATTTCAGAACAGCAAGGAGTACCTAGTGAAACTCTACTTCAAAAACAAAAACAAAACAAAACAAACAAAAAAATAAATCCATGTGCTTTCACCTCGAAATTTAACATGCTGAAATACGAGAATGGTGTATTGGGTTTATTTGGAAAATTAGAATTTCAGAATAGAAAATAAATCATGGTTACTTTAATGAGTCACGAATCTCTGTAATTGGGTGACATGGTGAAAAAGAAAAGATCTGTTACACGACATTGCTCATTGAATTTTTTCTTTTTCATTTTGTAGCATAGTTTCACAAATCAACACCCAACCTTTTATGTACTAAGAATTATTTTATCAGCGGAGTCACTTATAACCAGGAGTAGCTCAGACTGACTCACAAAAGAGAAAGTGAGAGATTACAATAATTTTAAGAACTATTTTGGAGTCCATGTTAAAAGTCTATTCTCAATTCTCTTCATAATTCGCAAACATTTGTTTACAGTTTGTAAATATGCCTTTTTTTAACTAAAGAAGAATAAAAGTTCCAAAATTCTAAAAAAAAAAAAAAAAAAATCTTACTCTATCCCATCTACCAAAAAAAGCCTGTATTTTAAAATATGAATCAAACTTCTTTTGGGGATTTTAAACAATTTCCCCTGTATGTACATTTCTCTCCTTTAACCTTTAAAGTACTACTTGTGGTTTAAATGATTTCTCAGAAGTTCACAACACAATGATGCCATTCCTTATTTAATTAACTTTTTCTTATGAAGAAGAAAGCTTATTGAATCCTTATTAAATCCCTTGAGGTAGTAGAACATATTGTGATTTATACATCTTCCATATGGCTTCAGAACTCAGCAAGGTGCTGAAGAAATGTTATTTTATTTTTTTATGTGTACCGGTATTTTTCTGCTTGTATTTCTATGTACGGTGTTGCACGCAGCTAGTAAAGGCCATTGGATGCCCTGAAACTAGAGTTATAGGTCATTATAAGACACCATGTGGATGGTGGAAAATAAACTCCAGACCTCTGGACGAGCAACCAGTGCTCTTTGATTCCCACATGACCGCTCACATATCTCCACAACTACAGTTCCAGAAGACCTGGTGACCTCTTCTGGTTTTTTGGCCTCTGTGAGCACATATGAGATAACAAGGAGGGAAAATGCGAATACACATAAAAACAAATGATACAAGAAAGGACAATGGAATGAGAGAAAATTATCCTAAAGATGTAAGAAAAATAAAAGCAAAATCAAGAAATAAGCCAGTGAAATTCAACAAAAATTAATATAGATATATCTGTTTCGTTTTATATACTAGAACATTCTGAAACATGGTTGACAACAAATTCCGAAGGAACCTCACCTGGGAGAACGTACCGATGATAGCATTGTGGTGGTTGGTTTCTGTCAACTTGACAAAGCTTAAGCCTATCTTAAGTTTGTATGTTAAGCCATCTTCCTGTCCCCGTTTGCTTTGCTTTCAGCCTGGAGCAGGTACTACAAATAACTGATTAATTTATATAATTTTAAAAGTCGTATGAGCATTAATCAGCACCACATGGATGATGGGATTATTAAAAGCGGTAGAACTTATCTACTTGATTTAACGTCAACAAACACACCAAGTACACTGTCTGGTTTATCATTTTCATTTATCTGCATAATTTACGTTACAGGTAACAATCATGTCATGCAAGTATGTCATATTTTTATTGCATTTGTACAAAAACTTACCCCATATTATTAAAGCCCAGTGAAAAGAACCAGACTGCCATTGCATTCCAAAGTTCCAGAAGAAATACACTTTATAAATTAAACTTACTTTAGCCAATGTACAAAAATACATTTTTCATATTAATGTGATAATCTGTGGCATTTATAAGACATGGCTACTGAGTGATGCTCAAATCAGATTGAACATATTCCAAATGTGTGTGATGAAAACATTCAAGACCCTTTCTTCTAGCTTTTGAAATATACAGTATGAAGTTATCTTCAGTCACCCTCCTACGCAACAGCACACCAGAACATCTTACTCTTATCTAACCATAGTTTAACACCCACCCATCACTCCCCTGTTTGGTAACCAATGTTCTACTCTTGCTTTCTCAATCCAGTGTTTAGTATTCCACAAGTGAGGTGATGCGTTGCCTGTCCTTAGGTGTTTGGATCATTTCCCTTAGCGTAATGATCTCCAGTTCTGTCTGTGGCAAGAAGGCTCAATGGCAGAATAGCGCTCCATTGTGTATGCTGAAATACGTTAATCAGCATTTTTTTTTCAGCATTCATCACCTGATGGGCACTTCTGCCGCTTCCATCTCTTGTATTGTAAGCAGTATTACAGAGAACAATGGCTCTTCTCCCTGTTGACTATCCAGCAGTGAAACTTCCAGGTCTTGTGTTATTATTTATTAAAAAATAAAGAATAAGAAATTCACAACCCATGTCACTTTCAAACATGGCTGCTTTCTTCTACAAACTAACCTTACCTGCGTTGTTAGGGATTAAAGGTGTGTACTCAGGGCATGTCTGTATTCCAGTCAGATTATACTGTAATCTAGGGAGTGTCTGTATTGCAGCCAGATCATAGAGACCTAGAAGGTCTTTGGATGTGATCCCTTACCAGAACAGCCATGTACTGGATTAAAATTCCATTTATCTTGATATAAGGATACATATGTAGAATGCTATTAAGAATTATGCTGGGTTAGTAAAATGTCAGTAGTAGATTCTCTTTTCCTGCTGGTCCTGGATCTTTGGATAGGTTTGGAGCACCAGGCATGATTTTCTTCTTGTTGAGCAAGACTTAAGTCCAATTAGAGAGCTGATAGTTGTCACCAAGATATAAGTACCCCCCTGAACTCTGTGTCTAAAGTGCACAGTATCTTCAGTAATAGGTTACCTTTCAACCTCTGCATAATATTGTACTGGACTTCTTGACTCTCTTGAGGGGATTTCTCATGCCTGTACTGAGTTTTTTTTGTTAGGTTTAGCTTGTGAAGGCAGCATTGTCAACCCAAAGAGTATAACTTCATTTAATCTATAGATGTATACGTAAACATACATTTTAGGTATTGTATGTAATTTTAGGTAAATAAAAATATGATTTATGGCTTTTTTCAAACATTCTTAGTATTACTTTCCCTGTTTCCTCCCTCTCCTGTAATGGCTTTCCACAGTTAAATCCATCAACCCGAGGTTTTCCATTCCTCATTTATATCACTTGTATCCTGCTACTCCCCTTTCTAGCATTCTTTCTCCTCCCTGCCCACTGTTCCCCCTCCATCTTGGTACCTTTTACTTCCCTGGTTGGGGCAGTTACTCAAGGCTATATAGTCATATCTCTCCTATGGGGAACCACAAATGAGAGAGCATATATGTTTGTCTTTCTGGGTCTGGGTGACCTCACTCAACATATTTTCTACTTCCATCTGGAAATAACATAACCAAGGAAGTGAAAGACCTTGACAAAGAAAACTGTAAATCTCCGAAGAAAAAGTTTGAGAAAGTCACTAGAAAATGGAAAGACTCCTCATATCATGGATGGTAGAATACTGGGAAATGATCACTCTATGCAAAGCGACTTACAGATTCAATGCAATCTTAATCTTATTCTTCACAGATATAGGAAAAAAAATTGTCCTAAAATTCACCTGGATCCACGCAAGGTTCCAAATAGCCTAAGCAAACCAGAGCAAAAGGAACAATACTAGAGGGTTTCTACATTAGATCTCAACATATCACAAAGCTATAATTATAAAAACAGTATGGTACTGGCGCAAACATGGGCATATAGACTAATGGAGCAAAACTGAAATCCCAAACAGGAGAACACGTAGCTACAGCCTTCTAATATTTGACAAAGATGCCAACTATGTCTTCAACACTGGAGGGAAATACAGCATTTTCAGCAAATGGTATTGGGAAATACATTCACATGTATGTCCACATGTGAAAGAATAAAAATAGATCCATACCTATCACCCTGCACAAAAATTAACTGCAAATGGATCAAAGAACCCAGTGTGAAACTTGAAACATTGAAAATTATAAGAAAAAAAAAGGCAGTATTCTTTTAAAATATATGTGTAGGAAGGGACTTTCTGATTTT